TAAAGCTTAGATTATCCTTTTTGATCCATTGGAGCATTTTCTTGGCATTTGCCCAACATGAACCTTTCATGACTTTTGTTGTAGAGTTCATCTAGAGTCATTTGGGCAAGGTTGCAAGATTTGGTTGACGACCGAGAATTCCATTCACTTTATAAAATAATTCAAGCAAGGACATAACTCGTCATTTCATGTGACTTCTTGATTCCAAACTTCACGAAACTTTTCCATGGATCAATATAGATGGGTATTGATGTGAGACACATGAAGATATTCCAATAACACCAGCCAAGCATATATCTTGAAAAGGGCCTATATGTAAAGCAAGGGTGCAATATCCAAGTTGAGGTTGGGGCTCATTTCCATAGGTTTGACCTTGACATCTTCATCATTACTTAATATGCCATGTTTGAGCTCAAACCCATTGCTTAACTGGTGGCAAACACCTGGGGTGTTACAGATCCGGTGTAGCCGGGTCGGCTGGAAGCTCTTCTGCGCCTTCCACTATGCCACCAGCATCCTCTACGTCTCCTGCATCTCCACCGCCGGAGCCAGCTCATCGACCAACTACTCGAGCATAGAGGGGCATTGTTAAGCCTAAGCGGTATTCTGATGGCACGGTACGTTGGTGCAACTTCGCCTCTACTGCAGAGCCTACCTCCGTTGATGAAGCACTCCGTGGTGAGAACTGGACCGTGGCCATGAATGATGAACATCAGGCCTTGCTTAACAACGGCACCTGGCACCTAGTTCCACCACCGCGCGGCAAGAATGTCATTGGATGCAAGTGGGTATATAAAATTAAAAGAAGAGCAGATGGTCAAATTGAGAGATATAAAGCCCGTTTGGTTGCTAAAGGATACCGGCAACGGTATGGAGTGGACTATGAAGATACATTTAGCCTAGTTGTGAAAGCTGCAACAATCCGTCTTATTTTGGCTTTGGCAATGTCAAGGGATTGGTCACTTCGTCAGTTAGATGTTAAAAATGCTTTTTTGCATGGGGTTCTTCAAGAAGAAGTTTATATGCATCAACCTCTTGGCTATGTTGATTCCAAAAGGCCGGGCTATGTTTGCAAACTGGACAAGGCCATCTATGGTCTCAAACAAGCTCCTCGAGCTTGGCATGCACGGCTGTGTGCAAAGCTTGAGTCCCTCGGATTCACTTCTTCTAAAGCTGATGCATCTCTGTTTTATTTCAACAAAGGCAGGTATACAATGTTTGTTCTTGTGTATGTCGACGATATCATTGTTGCCAGTTCATCCGCAGCAGCCACCAAAGCTCTCCTTGCAGATTTGCAGCAGGACTTTGCTCTCAAAGACCTTGGCGATTTACATTACTTCTTGGGCATCGAAGTCAAGAGGGGAAGAAGTCATATGCTCCTCACCCAAGAACGGTATGCCAATGAGGTACTGCAGCTGTCAGGCATGGCTAAATGCAAGCCGATCGATACACCACTGTCTAGTTCCGAGAAATTAAGTTTAGAAGATGGGGATAAACTTGGAGCTGAAGATGCCACGAATTATCGCAGTGTAGTTGGAGCACTGCAGTATCTTACCTTAACAAGACCAGATATATCCTTCTCAGTAAATAAAGTATGTCAGTTTCTTCATTCACCCACCACTGTGCATTGGAGCGCCGTGAAAAGGATCTTGAGGTACATCAAAGGGACAATTAAGCTTGGTCTTAGTTTTGGTAAGTCTGAATCCATGCTGGTTAGTGCATTTTCAGATGCTGATTGGGCCGGTTGTGTGGATGATAGAAGATCCACAGGAGGATTTGCAGTGTTTCTTGGTGACAACTTGATTTCGTGGACTGCTAAGAAACAACCAACCGTGTCAAGATCAAGCACTGAGGCAGAATATAAAGCACTAGCTAATGCGGTTGCAGAGATGGTTTGGGTTCAAAAATTGTTAACTGAATTAGGAATTCGGCATCCCCCTAAAGCAAGATTGTGGTGTGACAATCTTGGAGCAACTTATCTCTCTGCTAATCCAATGTTCCATGCAAGGACTAAACACATAGAGATAGATTTCCATTTTGTCAGAGAAAGGGTTGCACAAAAATTGCTTGAGGTTCGGTTGGTTTCAACAGGGGATCAGTTGGCTGATGGTTTCACCAAAGCATTGCCTGTTCATAAACTTCAACAGTTCAGAAACAATCTCAGTCTACAAAGTGGCTGAGATTGAGGGAGGATGTTAGATGATAAGGTATAGTTCCACCTGTCATATTGAGGCACGGTTCATTGTAACAATAGAGAGATTTGTATTCCATAGTTAGCTCCTAGAATTGTGGATCTAGATGTTGTAATCATGACCATGTACATGCTACGGTGGGGGCTATTCCCACTATATATAACACGGAACCGTGAACCCCAAAGGGTATCACGTTAACCCTAGTTTTTACAGATACATCCTTCTGAAATGCATGAGCGGATCATTGGCCGGTCACTGCAAACATTTGCTGGCTTGCGTACGAGCTCGGCAGGTTCAGGGAGTGTGATGGCTTCCGTGTCCGCTCTCCCATTCCCGGAGGAAGCCAGGCTGTATCAGGGCAGTCCCAATGGTAGACACTACGCACGGTTTCCGTAGTGACCACGTCAGCAAAATTTCATCTATAGAAACTATCCCCCACAATACAGGTTTCTTCGCCTACTAAATGTGTGTTTTTCTCTCTCTCTTCCTCCACCGATTACCATGGATGCTCTCGCCTCTGGTATTCTTTGCCGTGGGCAAGCTCGGTTGACGAGAGCAGCGGCCAGCACGCGAGCGCGCAGCGGTGCGGGCGAAGGTGCGCAGCTGCCAGCGGGCATGCGCGGCGGCGCAGGCGAGCGCGTGCGGTGGCCGGCGAGCGAGTGCAGGCGGGTGCGTGGCGGCCCAGGCGAGTGCGCGCGGCTGCTGGCGGCTCGTGGTGGCTCTTCATGTCGATCGACGTGTCCGCTCTATACGTGTCCCATAGCTGCACGTACGTACATGATGCATATGAACGAACAGCGAACAATCAAACGGCGACCATCACAAATTAGAACTCGGTGGTTGCAATGTGTAGAGCAGATCAAGTGCTCAGCCTGAAGCAGAACCACCTCCGCTCCGTGCCGTCCTCCTTCATGATCTTCCGTGGCTGGATGCCCTAGTAGATGACGACGGCCTTCTTGTCCTGCCCCTTCCGGTGCCGCGGCCTCGTGATTTTGGCGCTGATCTGGCGCGGTGGCTGCTTGCTAGCGCGTGCAGCGGCGGTGTGGGCGAGCATGGTGGCGGCCGGCGAGCGAGCGGGCCAGCGTGGTGGCGGCCGGCGATGAGCGCGCGGCCAGCGCAGCGGCGGCGCGGGCGAGCGCGGTGGCGGCTGGCAAGCGCGCGGCCAGCAGGGTAAGCGCTGGGGCCGTTGGCGAGCGAGCGTGCCGCGGCGGCCGGCAAGCCATCACAGGCGCCGCAACTTGATAGAAACGACTCGTTTCTTCCCAACACTGAAATCACAGTTTCTTCGTGCATCGATTCAAGAGACGACTTCGTTTCCTCTTGAAGAAACGGTTTCTTCTATTTTTCATCTCTTTCTTCGTTAATTAGGCTACCATGTCAGCATTTTGCTGAGTTGACATCTCATTTAATAGAGATAGAAACCACCATTAATTCTCCATTGGGAGTGCCCTTAAGCGTCAATAAAGCCTGCTAATCAGTGGCCCGTAAAGCTTCACCAATCGGACCTGGACAGCCCTAACGGATCACGCACACAGTACCACAGCGATGCATCAACCATACCTTCTCGAGCTCAAGCAACAGCTTGTTGATAGCAATCAACATCCCTGCAGAGGAAACGAAAAAAAAAGGAAGAAGCTTGCTGATGAATTTCGCATGAATCAGTCAGGAGGTTCCTTCGTTGGCAGGGAAACGATCCGTGGTTCCAAACGGGGGAAATTTTCACTCGCAAGCCACTGAGAAAACCATGGCTGGAAATTAAAGCGACGCGACGCAGCGCACCGAGGAAAGAATTGAAGAAGAAGAGGTCGATGGGGATGGCTCGTCGCAGCACGTAGTAGCAGTAGCCGCGAAGGAACGCACCCATGGAGGTGAAGGATTGGCAGGCAGTGTGGAAAAGTTCAGTGGGATCTCACCATCCATCCGATATCCCCATGGGAAGAACAAGGCTCGAGCCGCCAGTGGGCGGCCTGTCAGCCTCGTCCCTCGAGGTCGTGGGGGAGGAACCGAGGGAGGAGTAGGGAGACGCTTACGCGTCCGCCTCTCTTGGGTCGTCTGCTTGCGGTGGAGGAAAAGGGATGGCTTCGGGCGCACGCGCACTTGGGCTGTGGTGGGTTGTGTGCAGTGTGCAAAAGTTGGCGGTTTATCACTTTCTGGTTAGTCTCGGAGGAATGGAATTGGAGAGCATCCTAGTCTTTTTGAATGTGGGAGGGAAGCCCTCCTGACCCGCGAATTCGCGAAAATTCTCCAGCCACACTGTTACCATATTGTTAACATTGTCTACTCAGCTATTGTTAGCGAAAAGGATCTAGCAATCAGAAAGCTCTCGCTTCGACTGGAAAACAAAAGGGGAAAAACACTTTAATTAGAAAGCTCTCAGCTTCTACTGGAAAACAAAAGGAAAAAAAAAACACCGGTCCTTTGTTTTTTTTGGGAGAAAGGGATGGATTTCCCATAAGAATAAATAGAAGAGAGTTGATTTCATTGCTTCAAATACCAGCAACTTCACCAAAACCGTACCCTAAAGAACCTAATCTGCACCCTAACAGCTACTAAAACACAATAGTAGTTAAACACAGCAAAGCGAGTTCAGATGCCTACGGGATGCTCAGGGTTGTCCAGACAAGTGACAGTAGCTCTATTACAACTGAGTTCAGATGCAACATTGTATCTAATGGACCAACACGAAACTACACTCTTATGTCACCAAGCTGATCTACCCAGCTTCCAGAAACTTCTATAACAAGAACTCTTCAAGTTGGATAGATTAATCAATCACAGTTTAGCAAACATGTAACATCAGGAACACCATTACATCAGATAATGTGCGTTGAGATAATATCTGTTGATGTACCTCGACTGCAGACAATAGTAAATACCAAGTTAAATCTAGTGTTGCAGGTTCAGATACATTTAAGTAATGAGCACTGAAGAACAACTTCATACATTCACAATGTTAACATCAGGTGTATCCGGGGTTTTCACAGGATAGAATTTGTAAAATTTGATGTTTTCAAATGCCTCCCTTTGCTTAGGGTCCATATCTTCAATAGCTTTCTTCCTGGCTTCTTCAGCCTGCAGAAGTTTAGGGGAACATTGAATATTGTAAAGCATCAAATCTCTTGGAAAATAATTAAATATTTCAGTTAAATGGACCTGTTCCAGTTCTATTTTCCTTTGTTTAACCTTCTCCTTTAGAAATTCCTGTCAAAGAAACGTGGCAGCAAAATTAGGAAGGAGTTACTGCTGTAAAACAATGCTAACTTTAGAGTGTATAATTGATCAAGAAGAGATTAGTGACCTCAATTTTTTCCCTTTCATCCTCTGGCAACCCCTCATCTTTGACTATCTTATGAGCTAAAACCTGCATTGCAACATGATATGATTCAACATGGATGTCCTTTCATAGATAGCATTGTACATCAGAGTAGAACAACTGAAATTCCTTACAAACCTTGTAACCATCCAATTCCAAGTCAACATCACAAATTATCTGCAACAAGCAGCACAAGGTAAACATTAATGTATGAACAATTTACAGCTACTTGAAACCAGACCTGGAGACTTAATTAGGATGCACGAGTGCACTTCTGCGAATAGTGTTTGAAATAGAAATACAATAACTACAAAGTGGAAAGATTTTATTGTTGCTTTATTATCAACAGAAGGAAACTTTTAACAACCCACCCATCCACTTGGGTTTTGCACCATCAAATTGTGACAGGAACAACTTAGGTCAAGCATCCAACATACTACAAAACAGGTGACAACATTTAAGACAAAACGGAAGCAATGCGCATGATCAGATACTAGCAATGGAAGATGAGGAGGGGTCCCCACAGCACGAGTTTGCCTTAAAGTAGCAACAGCAATGGCAGCATGTCACCAGTACCGGGCAAAAACCATGACCTCATCGACTGATGATCACGTCACAGACTAAAGCAGACTAGATCACAGCAATAATACGCTTAAAGGAAGCTTACCGGGGGTTCTAGAGAATATATGGCGCTGACAACTGTGCCATCTTCATCTTCAGGAGGATTTAGTGGAATGTAATCTGCAAGATATTAAACAAGGTTCATATGCCAATGAGATTACCCTACAGAGAATGATATCATTAAAACAACTAATGCCATATAAATTTAAATCGAGTGATCAACTAGTAGAACAGCTCTAGGATATGGGCGCGTATCTGAGAGTGGATTGTGCCAAACAGGATTCAGTGAGTGTTGGGTCATTTTGAGTACTTAGCAATCTTTTCGTGCTTATGATGTCTTAGAATGTGATTGACAATTCCATCCTGGCAGTTCTTAGGCACTAGGCGCAACCCTGCCACATAGCATTACCTGCTGCCTAGGTTTCTGCCTTGCTAGACAGTAATAAGTACTAGGCACCACCTCGCTGTCCACTGAGTACTTTCTGAAAATAGCATGACCTGAAAATCTGCACGCTCTAGAGATGCTAACCGTCAAGCTAGGTGCGAACAGCACTAAAGGCCTAGCAAATATGCACCAAAGTGCAAAAACTGAAAAGAAAAAATTTATCCCCTCAGAAGAAAAAGGAGAATAAAAGAGAGATTCGCTTAGGACAGGATATTATGTGCCATCAAATTACTAGAAAGCAACCAGGATATAATTCAAACTGGTGTTACTAAATATGATGCCATTATGATTTTGTAAAACGGAATACCAGTCAACCAAAAAAACAAGTTTAAAAGCCATTGCATGTGTTCGCAGGCATGTTTCTTCAACTGCCACTTCAATGAATTAACAATTTGATTAGGGAAAAGGGCATCATTCCAAGACGAAGAATTGCATTGCAACCATTCAACTAATAGTGGCTGCAGTTCTGCAGAATTATGCACACTTTTGGATGGTTTGGTTTACATGATCTTGGCATGACACGTGACAAAGATAGGTACAACAGTGGAACCTCTCTAATGGTAAGGGGTATTCAAAGGATCCTAAAGAAAAAAGGGTAAACAAAATAGATATTACTAGAGAAGCATAATACAGGCCTAAAAAAATAAACCCAATTCAGCTTACAGGGCATGCAGTAGTAGAACTTGTTGGCTCTCTCAGTTTTCATATGCTTCAGCGCAGACCTGTAAACGTATAAACCTGAGATTTAGTAATCGTAACTAGTGGTAATGGAAATATAGCACATCATTGAATGAGAATGAAAATGCCTGGAAACATATAAGCAACAGAAATAAATATGTACCTAAAGCATGAAATTCTGAAAGCATAAATTCATAAAACTCACCTCCGCTGGGTGCAACAGAGAGTGAAGATTTTTGTTTTCAAACTTTCAATCCTGCCAAACCTGTAGGCAAAGCAATAGCAAGGTGAGCAAAATAAGTTACAAAGTAGAGGAAAAAGCAGGGATATAAACAATGACAACAAAAGGCAACAAATATTGCTCGATATAAGTAACGCAACAGTACCGGTCCTCAAGAGGAACATAAGGCACCCATGCCATCTTCATCTCTTTCATTGGTACTATTTCTTCTTTTCCCGTTTGAACCAAATTTATGCCAATCTTATCTGATGGAGGAAAAGGACAGTCAACCTGCAAAATTGAACATGTCAACTGCTAAACAAGACAGACCATCCAGATCATAGGCCTTAAACATGTATTTGATCAAATTAACAAATATGACAAAATATTTGATACTGCATGTTAGGGTAAAAAACATCAGTGAAGAGCAAGACAAGGTCACCAGCCAAATAATTTTTGACAAGTTAACAGGAAATCTTAGAGAGAGAAAGCAGAATCATAACAGAACAACAGCAATAGAAGGAAATAAATGCTCCTACCAAGATAATTCTCTTGGTAACATCAACTGACAAAATAAATAGAGTTTCTTACTCCTTTTATTTTCAAAAGCTTGTAGCAACTTTCTAAACTTAAAAGCTGATACATAAATGTTCATCTTGTGCAATTAATAATTCTACATAAAAATCATAAACAATAATATACTAAAGATGGTATGTTTTTAAGTAATGCAAAAGGTATAAACAGAACTGCTGATTTGTTTATCTGATGTAGACATGAGCTAAAGGTTCAGCTCAATATGTACAACTGCAAGACCATTCTCCGCTGTACATTTTTTTCCTACTAACATGTTTTGCTTTGAAACACAAAATGTAAATATAATGGTGTTATAGATGCTGGGCCAAGAGAGTGGATGAGAACTTACAGCAACTACAACAGGAACAAGTACCATCTTCAATTCACCATTAACATCCAATAGTTGTGCTGCACGCCAAGAGGAGCCAATTTGACTTGTATGGAATAATATTCAACAGGTGTAAAACTAGTATGGAAATAAGAAGATGGCAGATACTAAATCCACTTTACATACAATATATAAAGTGATACACAAATACAATTGTTGAATCTCACTAAACCAGACTAATAGCACTTAAAACAAACATCAGTAAATTTATGGCCAGATAACCCTACTTTGCTACAGATTATGAAATATTACCAACATTATAAAACATGTATCATGGATCAACGGTAGCAAAATTAACTTCAGAAACAGTACTGAAATATTATCAACATTATAAAACATGTATCAAGGATCAACGGTAGCAAAATCAACTTTAGAAACAGCTGAGTGCCAAGTATACTTAGTTACTTACACTCGGTGCTTCCAAACAAGTAAACCGTCTTCCCATATATAGTCCCCCCCCCCCTTCCTTTTCTGCTCATCAACAACAACCACATATCACTGTATGCTGAAGTTAAACATTCAAAAAGGGGGTAAATCTTACAAGATTAAGTTTGGCTATCATACCTCTAAATTTTCGAAGTTCCAATTGAATTCCTTTATCTTATCAATGCTTTCCCACTGCAGATGACAAGCCAAGTTCTATAAGTTGTTCAAGGCAAGGAAATGCGTACAGCTTAAGCTATATAATATGTCCAAGTGCGCACGACTAACATACACATTACGAAAAAAAAGGGATGGGAACAAACCTCAGTCCCAATAGGAAAAGCAGACCACCACAGATCCTCCTGAACAGAGTGACAAACCATTAGTCAAAACACACATTAATCAAAATAGCAAGGCCATCATACAAGATCACAATTCTAATCATAATGACAACTTCCGAAAACAGTCATAGCGGTTGCTTCCAATAGGAAGAAACTGCTGTCATAAAAAGAAGAAAAAAACCTGCAAATAGAACATGGCACCTGTTGTGCAACAATGAATATGTTCTGAGTCAGCATGCCAGAAACATGTTGCTGACTCATCATCTTCCAATACTACCATAAACCTAGTGCTAATCTGGCATGCTCCTCGGCTGACATAGCAATTGCTAGCACCAGACTTGGAAAAAGGTTGACCAGCAGAACACACACACGGGCTTAAATTTTTTTCATCAGTCACGAATTCTCTAATACCACGGGGTAGAGCATTCCAGTTTCCTATTTACATGAGAACAAACTAATAGTCAAACCAAGTGTTAATAACATACTCATATAAACAGTGAGATGCGCATTTGAGCATCAGTAGCAGAAGAACGGCACCAACATCCCCCATTTTTTACCAAAAATCCCAGCGATGCGAGCACCAATCGAAAGTGAAGCTGTCCGCGAGCTAATCAGATAAGGACCAACGCTCCCTACTTGGGGATACCAATTATCAAAACGCAAAGGAAGTGTCTCGGTGTCAATCGATTGAAATTAGTTTTTCTCTTAACCAACGCCTATAACCATTAGACATTGATCCAACAGTTCATCCAGACCTGGATCTCCTTTCTCTCTTTCTTCTTCCTGCTTTCATCTTCACGTGCGATACACCCCGTCGCGCCGAGAACCGCCGACGCCCAACGCGGAGCCCCCGCCGCCACCACCTCCCCTCGGCTCCCGTCAGGGCCAGACGCCCCTGCCGCCTCCGCCGCCCACTGGGGTTCCTCCACTGCCCGGCTCCGGCGGCGCCTCCACCGCAGGCCGGCGAGCCTCCCTGAGCTCCTTCTAGGCCTGCAAGTCACAGGTAACTTCCAACCCCAGATCCCCTAATTCCTAACCCCAAATCCCATTCATTTTTGTAATAGAGATTTTGGTGATTGATGGATAAACGAGATTTCAATCGATTGATGGGGAACGGAAAACCTAACAACCCCAAGCACGCAACCGAAACAGGTCATCCTGCAGCCTACTCACCAGATTCCTCTTCCGGGGGAAGTACTCCATGTCGACCTTGGGCTTGGGCAGCAACTTGACGCGCTACTCCGCCCCAGAGGAGCTGCCTCCTTCGCCGCCGCCTCCGGCTTGCTCGAATCAGTGGCCGCCGTGCGCTACCTACCCCGCGCCCCCCGCTCTCGGTTGCTAGGGTTGGCGTCTGGATGAGGCGAGGATATATATAATCGAGACCTCTCTTATATACGGGGCTTTCGGCGCCGGGGGACCGGGCCACGTCGCCCGAATTGGGCGTCCGTCCGTGCCACAGGCGCGTGCAGCTTTGCAGAAAGACCCTCCGTCTTTCCTGAAATCGGATATAGGTCTACTCCGGTCCTTCCGCTACAGTAAACGAGGACGTTTTTCTTACTAGACCCTCTGTTGTCCAAAATATTTCAACACCAAGAAGGGAAAATTTGGATATCGTGGTAATTTTACGAAAAAACGCCCGCCGTCACTTTTTGGAGGAACCCGCGCCGCCCCCGCGCCGTTATTAATCTATTCGCTTCAGCTTATCAGCCGTACAAATCAGCTATTGCACAATATTTTTCTCTCACAAAAAATCAACGTCTAATTCAATTTCCTAATTCTTTGTGTGCACAGTTGTTGAAAGCTAAGTACTGGCCGGACGGCAATTTATTGGCGGCACAAGAGGGACCAGGAATATCATATACGTGGCGGAGTTGGTGCGTGGCCTAAAAGCTTTGGAGAAGGGGATTATCAGCCTGTTCGTTTCGAATGAATTGGCTTATAAGCCATGGCTGAAAGTACTGCTGGCTGATTTGGTGTGAGAAAAAAAATACTGTTCGTTGGCTGATAAGTCAAGGCTTATAAGCCAGATACGAGCAAGTGAAGAGGCTGTATATGAACGGTGGGAGATGGCCAGAGCATTCGCATTTGGGAGGATCCCTGGATACCTGCTGGAACTACCAGGCGGCCACGTACACCCCGAGGCTCTATCTTACTATCCAAAGTAGCCGAGCTAATTGATCCACGTACTGGACGCGTTGGGATAACAACTTGTCAAGGACATTTTCTGGGAGGAGGATGTTATGAATATCTTGGCAATTCCTACTCACTGTGATCGGGATGATAGAGTAGCCTGGCATTTTAACACTAAGGGAGAATTCTCAGTCAAGTCAGCTTACCATGTGCTTGAAGATGCGGAAGAGCAGCAAAGAGAACGCCAGAGAGGGGAGGGCTCGGCTGTTTCAGCTGTGGCTGGGAGAAGCAATATTTGGAACAAAATCTGGAAGATGTCAGCTACTCCGAAGATCAAGCATTTTCTTTGGCGAGTGGCACATAATAGCCTTGCTTTCAAGCTGAACATAAGCAGACGTGGTGTAGTCCTGGATACACGATGCCCGGTTTGCTACCGTTATGATGAAGATGGAGGACACTGTTTCTTGAAGTGCAAGCCAATGCGGCATTGTTGGAGAGAGCTCCGTTTGGAGGAGGAACGGATCAAATTGCTGAAATCCGATTCCTCGGAAGATTTTGTGCGAGATGTGCTGAACCTGACAAGTGATATATGTCTCAAGGTGGCTGTGCTATTATGGACATGGTGGGATGTGCGAAACAAGGTGAATGCAGGAGAGCTTATGCCTACGTGTCAACAAACGGTGCAGGCTGTTGTATCTATGGTGTCTGACATTCAGAAGATGAACACTCGGCAAAGACAACTGGTTGTCACTCCACAGCCGAGATGGTGCCCACCTGCTAGGGGATGCCTCAAGATAAATTTTGATGGTGCATTCGTACACGAAACAAATATTGGAGCTTGGGGTTTCATTGTGCGCGACCATGAAGGGCAGCCGGTCCTTGCTGGTGCCGGCAATCTTGTGTCGATCCATAACGCCCTCTTGGCAGAAGCTTATGCATGCAAATATGCGCTGGAAGCTGCAGCTTACCTAGGCATATCTCGAATTGTACTGGAGACAGACTCGAGCCAACTGAAAGAAGCCTTGTCATCTTCCTCTATGGACCTGGCGATTGGTGGAGGCCTTTCAGAGATCTCCGGGATAGTTTGCTCGATGATTTTAGCTGTGATTCTATTTGTAATGTTTCAAGAGTTTGCTGTTAGATACTTTGGATCATCTAGGTGTAGATCAGAGGGTGATATCTTTACTAATTGAATCAAATAGACTTAGAACTTGCTTCGGGGAAAGGAGACAGAGAGAGAGAGAGAGAGATGTAGGAGCATCTGACCGTCGGAGGGGTTGGAGGAGCTCCCTACCATCGTTGGTTCGTCGGTGAAGCTCTGCGCACGGGCAGCGACGGTTGGTGTAGTGGTGGAGACCGGCGGTGGTGGCAAAGGCAGTGGCGCTTCCCGCCGCTGGCAGTGCCTCCCTCGCGATCGGACTAGGGTTAGACGGTGGGGTTGTGGCGGCGGCAGTGAACCTCGTTTCAAGAGCCGTTTGCCCCACCTCCTCTTTATAGGCACTGTGCGACGGGGCCCACCAGTCACTAGATGGCTGGACGTCCCCGATCAGGACGCGGTCAAGGGGTCCGTCTCGACCGTTGGGTCAAGACAGATGAGATCAATTTTAACATTATCCCCCTTGATCTCAACTCATACTTTAACTTTAAACTTTGACTTTAATCCCTTTCACTTTTATTTGTTCCATCACAGATTAGCGCATAGAGCATGCTTCATCGTCACGATCAATCGCCGATAGACTTAACAGCTACAATACACATCTCTGTTTTGAAACAGATTCTTTAACTTTTGGGCTCTTTATTGTCCGGAAATCATAGGCTATACCATAAACCCATGTCGATTGTGTGTTCTCTAAACACACTGGGTAGTAAGCCTTTTGTACGCGGATCCGCAAGCACTTTCTTGTTACTTTAATACTTTTAGTATGATTCCGGGCTTTCTCCTTCACAACGTATAACTTTAACGTCAATGTGTTTGGCACCACACTTGACCCGTTGTTATAGGAGCGAACTACTTAAATGGTTATTGCTGTTGTATACCATTATCAATTCCAGGTGTAAGTTCTTTTAACCATTTCGCCTGTCCTTAAGCCTCATAACAAGCTATATTGTGGGTATGCATCTTTGATGACACCACAACTATTTTTTTGGAGCTTTTCCATAATAAAACTCCAACTGCGAGTGTTAGCTACTATGTGGGTTTCACTAAACATCTCGCCAAAAATTAACATTTGTACCCACAACTATTTGAGAGTACTTATTCTTTCTTACTCACCATGAGGCCTATAAATCTTTGCACAATTGCAAAACATTCTCAACTCTATTCCGGTGATCTATATCTGGACTGGACTTCTGCCAAAACATCCCGGATACATGAACTATGTCAGGATAAGTTCTTACTTATAAGCACTCATTAAGCTTTCCAACAGCTGAAGCATATAGGACGTCCTTTCGATCTCACATTGGTTCTTGGAACACTGAAAGTTCCCAAAACTATTACCCTTGACTATAGGAACAGACGTAGGTTTATTCACATATATACTTTATTTCTTTAGAATCTTCTCTAAGTATACACTTGAGATAGTTCTAATATCCCTTTTCCTTTTGTCTCGGTAAGTTCCAATTTCTGGAACGAATGACGCTTTACCAAGATCATTCTCATTGAAACTTGAGGACAAGAACTACTTCTCCAACAGTAGATTAACACCACTACTAGCGAGCAAGGTGCTATCCACGTGCATGATTAGGGAAATTGATTTCCCATGTTTAAACTTTGCATAAATACAATTATCCTCTACATTCTCTTTAAACCCAAACTTTCTTATTGTACTGTCAAAATTCAAGTACCAATGTCTTGAAGCTTGCTTTAATCCATAAATGGATTTCTCTAGGCAATACCCCTTACGTTCTTTTCCTTCCACGACAAAACATTTTGTGTTGTGCCATGTAAACTTTCCATACAAACCCCGTTGAGGAATGTGTCTTTAGATCCTTCTGATGTAACTCTAAATCGTAGTGTGCCATTAACGTCATTATGATTCTAAAAGAATCGTTGCATTCTCATTATAATCTATTTCTTCTCTTTGTGTAAATCATTTCGCCACAAGTGGCGCTTTATAGCTTTCCATATTCCCTTTGGAGTCACATTTGTCTTGTAGACCCATTACAGCCTACTATTTTGGCTCTATTGGGAATTTCTTCTAAGTCTCAAACATCGTTGGTATTTATCGATTTCATTTCATCTTCCTTTGCTTCTTGCCATTTAGACGAGTGAACGCCTCTCATGGCTTTTTCAAATGAGGTGGAATTACCCTCCATTTGAATTTCTTTCTTAACATTGACTCCTTAGTCACCAGAAATATCTGATTTTCTTATTCTTTGAGACCTTCTAGAGCCTTGTGGCACTTCTTTCATATGGGGCTATTGTTACTCTTCATTGCCAAAAGGCAATTGTTCTATAGCCTCCTGTATCACAAGATCCTTATTTACTTATTCATCTTTTTTAAGAGCTAACATCAGGTGTTGTATATGTCATACAACATCAACATGTATTAAGCAATTTGTTGCTCTAAAACACTGTAGTGGATATGTAATCCCACCTCTATTCAAGCCTTAGGTATCTACATACCATGCTCCCCCAGATTACTCTATCTTCTATAAAGATGGTGTATTTTCAAATTTCTTATTTTGGGTTTAATCTGCTAAAAACTCATATGGCGCATTTAGCACTGCCTTGATAACTCTAAACCCGTCCAGTATGAATACTAACCGACTATGCTATCATCCTATCGAAACTGTAAAAGGTCTAGGAATTTAGCTATTTCTTTACTTTAGGGGTATCGTTATTATGACCGTCTTACTCCCTCAACTATCACATTCATCTTTTATAGATCACTTTTACCTTCAATGCATAGTATACATTGCATTATCTAAAGTATGGGGAAGTATCTTTCTTAATTGTCTTTCTTAATTAATCTCACATTTCTCCCCCTCGAAATGTGGTATGAACTTTTCTACCACAATTTCGAAAAACATTCAGAACTCTTGTTAATGAGGAAACTTTGATTACTTACTTC